AATTGTTTGAAGTGTACCAAGGCCCTTTTGTCATCAGAGAAATACTTGGACCATCAACATACCACATAAGTGATCTCTACAATGATAAATTATATGGACCCTATCATATATCCTCCATGAAGAAATACATGGAACCGATCTACACACCACAACCGAAGATAGAAGATAAACTGTAATGTGTGCTTAACCCTATAAACATTGCTGTAAAAGGGAAGAATTTTAAATCATACCCACACAAGCAGTGAGTGAACAAGCCAATTTCTCCAGTTACCTCTGTCCCAATAGTTAAACTATAGTCATAATCACAAATTTAATGTATTTAGTTATAAGAGGTTATCATCAAGCAATCACAAACAACTATTCATTTAATGTACTCCATGGTACCTATAAGAATCATACATCTCTTATATGTCTCATGTTCATTTCATATTTCAACATTTGTTCATCACCCCATTCATTTATTATGTAAAAAATAAAAAAAATTGTTTTAACCACTTAAATTAATGTTATGTTTTTTAATGTTTGTAGAAGATAGGAGGGGATAGTAATCATTTTGCTATTTTAGAATTATTTTATTGTTATGTTCATTCCAACTGAAATTTGTTCTAGTTAAACCTTAATGTTAAGTTTGTTAGATTTTTGTTTCAACTCAATTTCATCTCAATATTTGTTATTTGCTGTATAATGTTAAATATATTTTTCGTCATTTAGCGAAAATATGTCATTAAAAATTTAATTACATATTTTCTGAGGGGATATTGTAATGACTCAAAATTCAATGTTTATAATTATAGTCCTTATTTTATTTTCAAACTCAATCTTGTTATATTTTCAATATTTATCCATGTCCATTTTTAATATTATTAAAACCATATTGTCTCAACATATATATAATTTACTATCAAAATTTATTCATTGGCTTATCCAAAATTATTATTCAAAAACAAATCCTCCAATCAGAACACCATCCATCTGGGTTCAAGATTATTAATAAAAATACAACCATGTTTTTATTTATGTGAACCCCATAACTTGATATGATTTACAACAATGAAAAGGAGAGTGCAGTTTAGCTATTCAAGAAGAGCACATAGAAACTATATTAGTTGTGAAATAAATTATGAAAATATAAAGTAAAGTATTGGCAAAATATCCAAATTAAGTTAACCGAAGAAAGAAGAATTTAAGCCTTTAAACTAAGAAGAAAATTATTATTACAGAAGATTGGTGAGAACTTTCCATTTATTAACTCAGACTAACTTATAGACTCCTCAAGCATCCATTTGGACCCTATTTACCTCCATTAATTAAAATCAAAATCCTTCCTATTTAATTTATTGTTTTTGAAAGATTATTAAATTTATAATTTACCATACTCATTGAAAATTTAAATTGGAAATCTTTTGATTCGGCCAGCACGAATCCCCACCCCTGAACAATTTTTTTGTAACCCTATATTAATCATTTAACTTATGTACCATTAAACCTCATGCTTTAAAACCTCTGTCCTCAAATTATTATTGTTTAAGATAAGATTAGAATATAAACCATATTAAGGGTTTATTTCATATTATTACTCTATAGTTTTTTGTGTAACTAGTGCGCAAAGGAATTTTGCACTCGTGTTATGCACTATATTTTTCCAACAGTTACTATAAAGCAAAAACAATAGGTAGTTGTACTAATTTACATGTTAACTTTTACCATGTAGTTTCACGAACTAACAAATTCTACCGTAAATTAAATTGTCTCACAAACAAATCAAAACCTAAGTTTAAAATGTTTCACAAACTATCAAATCAAAATCTAAATAAAACAGTTGAAGTATTGGAGTTCGGGAAAGTAAAATGAGTGTGACAATATTAAACGAGTGCGGGAAAGTATGTAAATGCAGCAATTAGCTACTTTGCGTGCTATAATCAGTGCAAGAAAGTGCAAGAAAGGTAACTGTAAGGAAAAGTGTTTTTCTATTGGTAAAGCTGCAAGGTTGAATTTAAAAGCGATCGTTTAATTAACGTAGAATTAACCAGGGGGGACTATTATTGGTCACCAGGTATATGTATGGGTTAATACTGTATATGAATAATCCAAATTCAAACTGTTACAAAAAAGTGCGTTTGGCAAAAAGACTCAGTAGCAAGCAATGAAATGACCATTATACACTAATAGTTTAATTAATATATCGCACTTACAAAAGTACAGTTTATACAGTACTAGCTGGCCTGACAGACGTCGTCCTGTCCTAATGTGGTTTTATGTAAAATGCTCGTTCATTTACAAGATGAGCTCGTTCACATGGCTCAATCACGTCCTGGTAGAAGTTCGTTCGCTACGCTCAATCACCTTTTGGTTGAAAATTAACCTGGTGAAAATTAATTATTGGTCCGGATACCCTTTGTTGACTCCCAAGGAATTCATAATCATGCTACCTCTGCTTCGTCTGTTGTTATTTGGGGTGTTCCCCAGGGTTCTATCATCGGCCCAATCCTGTTTTTGCTCTTCATTAATGACCTGCCTTCTTTTGTATCAAATAATCCAAGTTCAAATGTAGATGTTTGTTTATATGCCGACGACACCTCACTTTGCGTCTCAGCTAAAGACGTGGCTCATCTAGAGACAACAGCATTTGAGAGTTCCAATAGAGCTTTGCAATGGTTCCAAAACAACAAACTTCTTCTAAACTGCAAGAAAACAAAAATGCTCCAATACCATATTAACAGCTCAAAAAAGCAAGTCCCACTGACTGTTTTGATAGGTGACGAAGAGATCTCTTCTTGTAACAATGCTAAGTTTCTTGGTTTGGTTTTAGACAGACAGCTCAACTTTCATGACCATATAGAGCTCATATCCAGAAGAATTAGCACAGGAATTTTTGTGATCAGAGGTCTTTCGAGGTTTACCGATTCTCGTGTAACCTTGAGTGCCTATTATGGACTGATTTACCCATTATTGTCGTATTTGGTGGCAGTTTGGGGCTGTGAGAGCGTACGAACAAAGTTTGTCTTCCGTCTTCAGAAAAAAGCCCTAAGAGCAGCCTTCAGAATATCCCGTCGTACTTCTTGCAAGCCTCTCTTCAAGGAATACAATATCCTCACATTTCCATCCATATACATACTCAGTTGTCTATCGTTTTTAAAAAGAAATTATCATCTGTATCAACCACAGTTCCATTCAATGCAGTACACTCTCAGACAAAAAAACAATATTAAGCTACCTAAGCACAGGACAAGTTTCTTTGAGAGACACCTATTTTATAATAGTATCAGGTTTTTCAATGTGTTGCCTGAACCCCTGAAAGTGGAGCAAGACAAAGACAAATTTGGGAGAGCGGTCAAACGCATACTCTTGGAACAAGCTCCCTACACTGTGAAAGATTTTTTAAGTTGCCGATCGAATTAAGATACTGTTCAGTTACGTTGTAGTTCTAACAGCATTTATAATTTAGTTTTATTATATAATAAGATTCTTGTGACGCTATTATACAGTTTTTTTCTGTGCAAAAAAATAAAGATGATTTGATTTGATTTGATTTGAAATTAGCTGTTGTCATAAATTTAAAAAAATAATAGTGCTGCACCCTGTTGGTAAACCTATTAACTTTTTAATGCTATTGAGTATTACAGAATCAAATTATTTAGTTGAACCAGCTGTTATGATTCTTTAATTCCATTTAAATAAGAGTTCTCATAAGGTTAACATGGGAAACTCCAGAGCAACTGGGGCGGAGACCTTTTGACGGATCTGCACCAAACTTCACACAAACTATCCTTGAATAATGCTTAATAATTCCTGAAAGTTTCATTACAATCTGTCCAGCGGTTTCGGAGTCCATAAAGGACAAACAAACAAACATACATACATTGGATTTTATATATATAGATTTATATTTTATCTTACAACTGTATACAGGCCTAATGTATGTATTGTTGTGTTATCATCAGTTGTCGGTTGAGCAGAGCAAAAGCTTTGCTTGTTGCAAACACCGCGCTTCGCTACGTATCTGTGGCATTGTTTAGGAACAATAGGGGATGATTGCGACTTGGGCCGGCTGACTGGCAAATCGCACACTGAAATAGTAACTCCTGACGTAACATTGCTGTATAGGTTAAAAGTAGATAGTGTTTCTAAACGTTATATTTGTAAACAAATTTTTGGATTTGCTTCTTTAATTTTTACTAGTTGATCTGTCCGTGCAACGGGGCAAGAACATAGAATAATCACTGTGGACACCCATGTCTACTAGAATAGCTGCAAACACTCATCTTGGAAATCAATCAATCAATCTTACTTATTGCTTATTTATATTAAAGTCTTTTGTGAAGTTTTGTGTGATAGAAAAAAAGCTTATAGCCCTGTAAACATGTATTAAGAGAATCATAATAATTAACTCAGGTAAAATCAAACAAACACATTATAAATAAACACAAATCTATCAGCTGTTGCATGGTCAATATTTTAAATAATGGTAAAGTACAGCCTTCTATAAGCTGACCTGGAGGCTTGAGGATCATGACGAAATTATGTGGAAACAAAGCTATCGGCCATTCCAAACTCATAATTTATACTTAAGGATGTCATATTTTGAATATACTACCAGGAATATAATTTATTGTGTTTGAATTATTATATGAGATAACAAAGACAATTAAAGTCTATTTAAATCAGCGTTATGTATTATTGCACGTATCGTTAATGCACAGTAGTGTATAATGTGTTTTACAAGAGTATATTAATTGTTTCTAAACTCATCCGTAAGCTGGGTTTACCCGATGCCAATTGTCAGAAGACAACCTCACTGGCATGAAATATTTGGCTTTGTGTAAAAACTTCAGGCCAATTGCCTTGCCAACTGCCCTCACAATTGCCCCAATATTCAGTTGTCTCCAGGAGTAGACTGAGGACAACGAAGAGGACATATCGGCCTCTGATAACCCCACAATGTGATGACGGTTACCGAAGACAACATTCACACATTTATACATTTATATCCGCTTCCTCACCTTCTCCTCGGTAGCGATGGCGAGGTACCTCCTGTGCTGGTCGGGTGGGATGTTGAATGCCTTCTGGGCGTAGCTGTACAACTCGTCCTGGTAGTGCGAGAACTGACCACTGGAAGCACCGACCTTGTTGGTTATTGTGTAGAGAACTTCTATATACAACTGTTCCAACTGAAACACAGTAAAGAATCATTGCAGACATTCATTTTGTAACATAAGTTTGTAATATATGAGCACATTTTTCACAACATGACTTTAGAACGTTTATGAAAAAAGGTCGTGAGAACGTTTATCAAAAGGGAAACTGAGAAAGCATTTTACAACAGGATCTGTGACAATTTGTTACGAAAGAGCCTGAAGAAGTGTTCGACAGAACCGGAGAACGCTTATGACAACAGGTCCTGATAACGTTTATGGCGATGGAGCATGAGGACGTTTTTGACGACGGAACCTGAGAACATTTATGACAGAAGAGGTGAACGTTTTTGAGTGGAACTACTTCTCTCTTGACGACACCATCTAAGAAAGCAGACTTGACGGCAAAGGAGAAATCATCCAGGCAATTGTAACGTACATACAATTTCGTCAACAGTTCAACAAAATGTAGTTGCAACATGTTGAGTTTGACCACTACACTTTATTTAACTGTTGACGTAAAAGTATCTACCTAAACATTTTCTAATCAAAGGATTCAGGAGATAAGTAATGCATTTCAATAACCAGGGTTATTTATTTTTTTAGCAGAAGGAAGAAATATAAAGATAATCCCAGCAACGTAATTAAACAGGGCAGGCTTTGAGTGAATTTTGCACGTCGCTGTACCATATTCTGATATTAGCACCATACTGTTTCCATATTCTTATATTTGTACCATAATTTTACCATAATGTATCAAATTTTTGTGTTGGCAATGGGAAATCAAGTGATGTTTTAATAAGGAGCTCATGGCTATTCCCGTGATGCCACATCACGCCACCTGTTCCAACACTGCCTAAATCCCTTCTCTTTTCGTCATTCTACACCATTTCTCTGGTCAACTCTTTGCACCCTTTGTTAGGCACTACTTTTGTTAAATTGTCTTTGTTATGTCCTTCTGAGTAGTTATAATGTAACTTGTGTTATTGTTGTACAACAGGCCACCCTTAACTCCCAAGTATAGTGGTTTAGTATAAATTATTTTTGTGCGACAAAATAAACAAAAATATGAAAAAAGACGAATAAACATAAATAATATGAACCACAATGTATTCATACTTGGCCCAACTAACTAAGCATATTAATGAGAAATTAATAATCGAAAATCTGTTTTCATCCATTCCATCGCTGAAGAGTATTGTTAAATATTCTACACAGTCCAATAGAGAAAGAAAAATACCCCCGCCGCAGCAAACCTGCAGACTAAGCGAATTTCCATTTGCCTGATTGGATTTACACTGAAATGTCTACTTAAAAATATAACATTTATTCCCTATTCAAATAGAATTAGTTTAACACGTACTTAGGTTTGCTGCATCAGGGAGGGTAAAACTGTTTTTTTTTGTAAAATGTTAATAGTTAGTAAGAAATAAAAACATTTTCCAAATTTGATCAAAATATGTTCATAAACAAGCAAACTACAACAGTTTACTTATTCTCCATAAGAATAACATGGGAATTTTAAATTTACAATTTTTTGGAATTTTCTCCGTAACCATTAGGCGCATAATAACGCTTCAATATACTAAATTATTTGTTTTTTTAAGCTCTACAAAATGGTTTGGAAGGAAATTGCTTTATTTTATGTTTTTTGGGTCAAAAATGGGAAAAACCTATTTTTACCCCATAAAACCCCCCGTAAACCCCCGTTCCCATGGTCCGATCATGCTGGATCGCGAACTCGTTCAAATAAACGTAGGTTTACACGTTTGTACCAAATTTCATCAAAATCGGATCATTTTTGCTCGAGTTATCGTGCTAACGGACACATATATATATATATATAAATATATAAATATATATATATATGAATTTGAACGGATGGTGTTTTTGGCCTCTAGGGACCTCAAAACGAAAAAAAATCGGTCCCGCGTCCAGGTCTTACCATGAGTACTACGGTAATAGCTTATTCCCTATATGGGAAATTCGCTAACAATGTTTACAACAGCAAAAATAAAATTCAAATGTTAGTAGGAGAGTACAGTAACTAATTAGTGAAACTGTGATTGTAAGTGAGGTATATTTATATAAAAAATTACTAACTTTGATTATATTAGTATATATTGAAACTAAAATAAATACATACTTTGCTATACATGTATAGTTTATTAGCATATTAAAAAAACATAAAAAAAAGATTGTACATGTACAATCTTAAAATCATTATTGCGACTGGATAAAAACACAGAGTAAAATTCTCATATTTTTTACATGGGGAGGTCTTAAAATTGCAAGTGTATAAAAAATCTAACTTAGCTTTTCTTCTTTCTGTTAAGAAACGTCTTCAAAAGGGTGATACGAAACTTTTAATCCAACTCTTAAATCATGTTATCAGCTTTTGAATCGGCTTCCCTGTCTGTAACTCCTTTGGGAAATTACTTCTAAAACGGTCTTATCTAAAAGTCATCTTATTTTCGATAAACTCAAGAAACATTTCTTTCTATGCAAATACTACCTCTCTGGAATTGAAAAGCGACATTTGCATTTATTTTATGTCATCTGAAGAAACTTATTTGTTGTTTGGTTTTAAAAAAGTTTTATGAGATTTTGTATAACATTTTGAAATTAAACTGTCACAGAGAACACGCATGAATAGCATAGTTTTCCGTAGTAATGTGTATTTTTCGAGTAGATGCATAAGAAAATTACATTTATATTAAAATCTACTCCCAGCAGCCCCACAAGTAGATTTCCAAAAATAGTACTCAGGTTTACCACTACAATGAACCCTAAAATTATCATTTAGTTATATATTCATACAATAGACCTACACAGAAATCTTATACAGGGTGATCAACTCAAGGAGGCCACCATTGGGATATCGGAAACGGTAAGAATTAGAGAAAACTTTAAATGGGGGACATTCCTTTATTTTTTGTGGCAGTTAAAAATATGATTTTATTTTTTAGAAATTCAGCCGCCATTTTCCAAAATGGCGGCCAAATTTAAAATTTCTTATGGAACACCCTATCATGTTTTCGGATAGAACAGGCAATTTAAAAACTTTTTTATTCTTGAAATTTTTCGATAAACCTACTCGTTTAGGAGTTACAGCCTATGGAAAAATGGCTTCCGGTGTACATTTTACATCATGTAGCTCCTAAACAAGTAGGTTTATAGCGAAAATGCGAAGAGTAAATAAGTCAAAGAAGTCTTAATATTGCATCCACATTCCATAAAGACCATAAAATACACAGTTTTCCACTTTTCAAGTTTGCCGCCATTTTTGAAATAATAGAATTAACAGTTTTAACGAATTTTATGGTCTTTTTGGAATGTGGATGCAATTTTAAGACTTATTTCACTTATTTACTTTTCGCATTTTCGCTATAAACCTACTTGTTTAGGAGCTACATGATGTAAAATGTACACCGGAAGCCATTTTTTCCATAGACTGTAACTCCTAAACGAGTAGGTTTATCGAAAAATTGTCAAGAATAAAAAAGTTTTTAAATTGCCTGTTTTATCTGAAAACATGATTAAATATGGGGTGTTCTATAATAAATTTCAAAGTTTGCCACCATTTTGGAAAATGGCAACTGAATTTCTAAAAAATAAAATCATATTTTTAACTGCCACAAAAAATAAAGGAATGTCCCCCATTTAAAGTTTTCTCTAATTCTTACCGTTTCCGATATCCCAATGGTGGCCTCCTTGAGTTGATCACCCTGTATAGTTTACGGTAGTGCATTTGTAAACTATAAATTCATAACCCATTTTAGGTCAAGAAACAATTTAAACAAAACATATTTCCCATGGTCCAATTGAGTGGGTTTACAAACTTTAAATTCTACCCAGTCCAAAGACCTCGATTACACTCTGCATATTTATTATAACTCATACTAATGTAACTGGTTTTAATTATACGAACATTAAAAAGGATCAAGTAGATGCATTATTGTAAAAAAAACATGGTATAAATTAAATATCGAAAAATTATTACTATTGCAACTCGAACTTAAGTAAACCTCTTACATAAGTAGAAATATTATATATTTTTTTGCAAAAATGAACGCAACGAATTACGTAAAACGCTACAATGCATACATGTTTAGGTTTGTTCCCAATCTGAAGGTTATTCGGATTGGAGAACGTGACTGAAATGTACAATCCGACCAAAATTGAACTTTGCAACAACAAAAATTGAGGTGTCAGGTTTGTAAAGGATTCAGTATTTGACTGTCTTAAAAAAATCTATATGTTTCTTTGATTATCAAGCTACTGACATAACTTATGCAAAAGCTATAAGAAGATCCATTTTCCCAGTTGTAGTTTAAAATTGAAATGATTATATACAGTCATAACTTTTGCTGAAGATAAAACCGTCAGTGTTCATACTTTCAATACCATTCAATTATTAAAATCTTTGAATATTAAATTACAAACATAAATCATAATACTGTACAAATCTAAAATCAAATATAATATTTTTATAGAAACCTAAATGTCGAAATAAATCCACCTGTAAACAAAAATAAATGTAATAAAATAAAGCTATGGTGTACATAATAATTTTCATCATTTGTCCTAGCTAAATAAAAAAAAAAATATACAAAAAATATGAAAGGGTGTTTTCTTTTGTCAGGAGACAATTATCTAACAGCTGTTAGATAGGCTGACCGAAGCAAAGGACTTAATTAAGGCTTAAGATCGCTCTAAGACCACACTTTAACATCAAGCACCTTCCTCTTGAACATATGATAGCTTGGTGTAATATTAGAATGATTAATTTAATTAGTTATGATAATCGATATTACACATTACAGTAATAAAACTAAACTATGTCTACTTAGCCTCCATCGTTAGATATTTTAAAGCAAGTTAGTATTATGCAAATGAACTGTTTAAATACTCATAGCATAAATAAGTGGGAAAATGTTGTGGATATGTTTCTAGAAAAATAACTCAAGTAAATTAACTATTCAGTGACAAAAACTCCACAATCTATATCTATAAAAGAGGAACTATGTATGTAT